TTCAGGTCCCTTCTTGCCCCAAACACAAAAGTTAACTCAAAATGGATTACAGACCTAAATGTAAGACAAAACTCTTAGATGAAAACCCTGAGAGTGAGGCTTCACAACCTTGTCTTAGGCAAACCTTCCTTTGCATAACTCCAAACACACAAACAACAATAACAAAGCCGATTATTGAACTTCATCGCTTTAAAAGAGTAGGACTTTGGTGTTTTTTGTTTTTTGGTTTTTTTTTAGTGTTTACTCTATGTCAGGTACTATTCTAGGTGCTTTATTCATCTAAATTCATTTAGTACTCACAACAACCCTATGGGTAGGTACTATTCTTGTCCCCGTTTTACAGAGAAGGCAAGTAAAGCATTGAGAGGTTAAGTAACTTGCCTGAGGCCACACAGCGAGTAAGTAAAGGAGATATGATTTGAACCCAGATGGTCGGGCTCCAGGGTATGCTCTCAGCCACCGCGTGCACTGCCTCACCCAGGACACCTGTCCTTTGACCCAGCACTTCAGTGTCTCCTAATCTTCTTTCGAAAACTCTAGCACATGTGCCCAAAGACACATCATTCAGATTATTCACCATAGCATGGTGGCAATCGGGGAAAATTGGAAATCACTTAAATGTCCATTAAAAGGCCATTGGTTGGGACGCCTGGGTGGCTCAGGCAGTTGAGCATCTGACTCTTGGTTTCTGCTCAGGTCGTGATCTCAGGGTCATGGATCGAGCCCTGAGTCGGGCTCCACGCTCAGCGGGGAGTCTGCTTAGGATTCTCTCTCGCCCTCTCCTTCTGCTCCTCCCCCTGCACTCTCTCTCTCTCTCTCTCTCTCAAATAAATAAATAACTCTTTAAATAAATAAATAAATAAATAAATAGGCATTGGTTAGATAAACCATATGCGGTTTGTTTATACAATGAAATAGAGTTAAAAACCATGCGTTTGATCTCTGTTCTGATGTAAGAAGCTATTCATGACAAAAATACCTTGCAAAACTATCTTTCTGTGGGGCGCCTAGGTGGCTCAGTCGTTAGGTGTCTGCCTTCAGCTCAGGTCATGATCCCAGGTCTTGGGATTGAGCCCTGTATCGGGCTCCCTGCTCCGCGGGAAGCCTGCTTCTCCCTCTCCCACTCCCCCTGCTTGTGTTCCCTCTCTCCTGCCTCTTTCTCTCTCTGTCAAATGAATAAATAAAATCTAAAAAAAAAAAACAAAAAAACCCAAAAACTATCTTTCTCTGTATCCCACTTCAGCAGACAAAACGAGATTCGTCATCTGTATGCAAGTGTTATCACTTCTAGGAAATGAGATTAAGGGGAATGGAAGGAAGATTTCAACTTCTTTATATATTTTAATTCTGATCAAAAACATATCTGCCTCTGATAATTAAAGAAATTTAGTTCTTGGGCACCTCGGTGGCTCAGTCGGTTAAGCGACTGCCTTCGGCTCAGGTCATGATCCTGGAGTCCTGGGATCGAGTCCCGCATCGGGCTCCCTGCTCAGCGGGGAGTCTGCTTCTCCCTCTGACCCTCCCCCCTCTCATGTGCTCTCTCTTTCTCTCTCTCTCTCATTCTCTCTTTCAAATAAATAAATAAAAATCTTAAAAAAAAGAAATTTAGTTCTTTTTTTAAAAAGCAAAGAATCTGAAAGGTTACTCATGAATCTTCCAGCAAGAAGTTGTGAGGGGTGCCTGGGTGGCTCAGTTGGTTAAGCATCCGACTCTTGGTTTCAGCTTAGGTTGTGATCTCAGGGTTGTGAGATTGAGCCCCATGTGGGGCTCCACACTCAGCAGGGAGTCTCCTTGAGTTTGTCTCTCTCCCTCTGCCTCTCCCTCGCTCCTTCTCTAAAAAAAAAAAGGAATTGTGAACAGACCTTCTCTCCGCAGTGGATCTCATGGCTTCACCTCTTCCCAGATTGCCTCAGACCACCCAGGGCCTTTCATTCCTTTCCCATTGACCTTCCCACAGCTTCCAAGGGACCTTTCTCACCACACTCTCTCTTACTGGGATACCTTCCCCACTGAGTCATCTGGTTGCCTCCTTTGCAACCTTCAGGGCTAAGTTCAGGAGTCACTTCCTCTGAGAAGCCCTCCCCAACCCCTGAGGTCAGGATGAAGCTCTTGGGCTCTCCTGCAGACCCGTATACTTACCACTTTCACACAGTTACTCTGAATGGTGATTTGATTTTTTTCCCTTGGCTTCTACAATAGAACCCACAGGATCAGGGGCTATGTTTTCCATTTGTGTTTCTACTGTGCCTGGTACAGAGCTGGTGCCTAATAAATGTTCCTTGAAAGATGGAATGAATGAATGAATGAATGAATGAATGAATCTTTTCAAGGGATAAAATATTAACCCCTTCCCACTCCTACTGTATCATCACTGGAAGGTGAATATAGTTAGGTCCATATGTGAACCCATCTGTTTGTTCTACTCCATCTCAACCCGTGTGTGTGTGTGTGTCTGTGTGTGTATATATAAAATTTAGGGCTCTAGCTTCATGGATGAGCTCAAAAGGGTTGACTCAAACAAAGCTGTAATCCTTGTTCTTACAGTTTCTGAAGAACACTTGATAAGATTTCTTTTTCATCACATTCTGTGAATTTAAAAAGGGAAGAGAAATTAGAGCCTAAACTGTGTTTGGGTTTTTCATTTTTCCCTCTTTTTTGTTTGTTCTTGCTGGGGGTTTTTTGTTTTTGTTTTTGTTTTGTTTTGTTTTTGTGAGAACCTCTGCTTACCCTGAGCTTCTGGACTTTTTACACTCTTTTTCTTGGAGGGTAAAGTCTTCATGAATCACACACAGGATGTGGCCTTGCTTTAGGAAACCATTTTTATTAACATGAAGCAACAAAGGAGGGGCAGTCCAGGAAAGAATTATGAGCAGGGATAGAATCCAAAGCAGAAGTGTGAGCTTCCACAAATTTCTTTCAGGAGGATATATGGTTCTTTGATGCAGATAAGAATCCTGCTTTCACTCCTCCCCAGGCAGGTGGGGAGCAGGGAAATTCGGGTAGTGATAAAAGAGCAGCTACTCGGGGACTCTGAACCCTGAGGGAAATGACTTCTATGCCTCAGCATCTCTGTGTGCAAACTGCGTTAATGTCAGAAGTCATATTATTGAGTCCTTCCTGCCAGACACAGCGCCTCATGCTTTGCCTACACTTGTTTATTCATTCAAATATTTATTGAGCACCTACTATGTGCGGGCACTCTTCTAGGCCCTGGGGAGAACGTAACAGTGAACAGAATCCCTATGCTTTGGGAGCTTACGTTTGTGGAATCTGCCCACCAACCTCTTGAAATCCATATTATTGCTCCTCCTGCTTGACATATGAGGAAATAGAAGCTGAGTGTTGAAATAAAATCTGCCCCCAGATCACACATCTAGTAAGTGGTCGAGTTGGGATTCAAATTTAGGTTCGTCAGACTTTCCAGAGCCAATACTTCTCATCTCTGGGCTGTGCGGTGCCTCTGCAAAAGGAAATAGAAAAGACAGCCAAGGGGCGCCTGGGTGGCTCAGTCGTTAAGCGCGTCTGCCTTTGGCTCAGGTCATGATCCCAGGGTCCTGGGATGGAGCCCCTTTCATCGGGCTCCCTGCTCGGCGGGAAGCCTGCTTCTCCCTCCCCAACTCCCCCTGCTTGTGTTCCCTCTCTCGCTGTCTCTCTGTGTCAAACAAATAAATAAAATCTTAAAAAAAAAAGAAAGAAAGAAAGAAAAGACAGCCGATAGGGGTGTTTCGAGGCCCAAAGAACTAAAAACTCGGAAGGTCATCTGGTGCAGAGAGTACCCTGGATATTTGAGAAAGTGTAAACAAAAGAGCCAAGAATGATTTTCAGCACTCTTGTGGCTTGAGAACAGAGCTAAGGTTGGCTTGGACTCCTTCCCCCTCAATACAGGGCAGAGGCAGCCTATCATTCCATAGAATCATCCAGTTTTGAGGGCCCCAGGTATATGTGTGGGAAATTCATGTGCGTAAGGGACATTAACTTTTCCACCCTTTGGTGTTTGTACAGAAGCCTGAAACAAGAGGAATATACTGATGTTTGCCATGAACAGGTCTAGAAACTATATTCACTGAGGGGGTGAGAGTATTAACCTCTCTGTTTGCCCTCCCCCCAAATACTTTGCTGTCACACAGGAATTGACTAAGGACCCTCCAGGTAAAAGGGATGCTAGCACAGTGCCCAGCACAGAATAAACATGCAGCAGATACTTGGAGAATGAATGAATAAATAATCTCAACTCATAGTCACATAACAAGCGGTCAAAAGCAATCATACTGGACTCAGCACTTCCCAAAGGCCAACAGGATTTTTTCCAAGCACTCAGCTCCCACTGGAAAAATCAGGGCAGGTAAGCACAGCCCCCAGCACCTCTTCTGAAATGCAAAGACTTGCAGAAAAACCGGAGCTCCGAGAAGAGCAGATTGTTTTCCTGCCGTTCTTCTTGGGCTACTGAGAAATCAGAACCATACCGCACAGGGACCCTGCGAAGATGACAATCATCAGGATCAAGACATCCCCTCTAAAGAGCTTCACTCAGCCTGAAATAAAGCTATTGACTTACTCTGGTGTCTGCTTTCCAAAACAAGTAACAACTTAAGGTCAGAGGATGGGAAATACTGCTGTCATTAAGTTCACCCACTCCCCCGGAGAAAGAACATGACTGGTTTACACATTGATGCCTATTTCCTCAGCCGTTTAAAACTACACAGGAGCCGGGCTCTTCCCATGGCCCCATCCAATACACACAAGCCCCATTTCATGCACGTCTTGTCCCGTCATTGTAATCGGGTCATAGAAAGGCAACTGACTCACTTCTCAGCTGGAACCTTCCAAAAAGGCATAGTAACCTGAATTCCGTTTCCAGACAGAGTGAGGAGGATACAGCCAAGGAAGGGCAGCATTTTCAAAGCCTCTCACCCCCTTTGCACGAAATATTTCTAGGTCATCAGTCTGTCCTCCTTGGTTTTGTCTGCCTGTTTCAGCGCCATTCCGCACAGTTGGAGATCCTACTGCACGTCGGGTTGGCTCTGGAAGCCATTTGCCATGCTGACACAACTCTTGCGACAGAGGTTTGAAATTGGCATCTCTTCCGACCTCTGGGTCCTGGAGCGTCCTGGATTCTTAGGTCTCAAACTGCAGATTTTGAGCTTGGTGTAGAATTTGGGGAACGAGGGACTCGAAAAATAATACACCAGGGGGTCCAGCATGCTGTTCATGTAGGTGAAGCTGAGGGTGACATGGAGGGCTACATGGACCGAGGGGTCACAGGCGCTTGAGGGCACCGTCCAGAGGAAATAGAGTCTGGCCGACACACTGGGCAGGTAGCACGTGACGAACACAACGGCCACCACCATGATGAACCGGGTAGCCTTCTTCATCCGAGTCTGCCTGGCCAGCTGCCGCCTCTGCTTCAGGCTCCAAACGATCTTGAAGGAGCAAAACAGGATGATGCCGAGGGGCAGGAAGAACTCGAGCTGGAACATGATGTCGTGCCAGCCGTTGGCCGACTCCATGATGAAGCTCTCGCAAGATATGGTCTTCCCATGCACACACAGATGGTTCTCCAACAAAAGATAGAGAGTCCCCAGGATGACCATGGTCCAAAGGGCACAGACGATGCCAGCCGCAGTCCGATTGGAGATGGTGTTCACCACGTGGTGGGGGTGGACCACTTTGAAGTACCTGTCCACGGCCACCACCGTGAGGAAGGTGATGCTCCCCGCCCTGTTCATGGCCAGCATGAAGAGGGCCACCCGACAGGGGATGTCCTCGAAGGCCCATTGCCTGTGTCTCCAGTAGTAGTCTGTCCGGAAGGGCAGGCAGATCATGAGAAGGAAGTCAGCCACAGCTAGGTTAAAAAGGTAAATAGTGCTCGGCTTCCAGGTCTTCATGTGAAAGCAGAAACCACACAGGGCGACACCATTGCCCAGCACACCAAGCACGAAGGCCAGGATCAGCAACGGTGGCATCACCTGGGAGATGGGGTTCCCCTCGATGAGGCAGCACGACCCGTTGTCCATGGTAGACAGAGGACGGGTGTTCTGTGTGCCGGGTGGCCCCAGGAGTCCCCACAAAGACACAGATGCTCCCCTGAATGCTACCCACTCACCCGGCCGCTGGTTTTCTGACTTCTTCACCCTGGGATGCAGGTCCCGACTGCACGTGTGGGTGGACACTGCCACTGCTAGGCGAGCAGGGACTCAGCCAAAGAGACGAGAGACTCCGGGAGGTCCTTTCTCGGCTGGCTGTCCCACGCTACCTGTCTCCCTAGCAGGTGAAGCACGGAGCACGGCCAGACTGTGACACGCAGGTGGTCATTTCTGGGGCGCGGCAGGTGGGTCCAGTGAGATTCATGCCCTAGAGCCGTCGCTGGGTCCAGCTCTGGAATGGTTTTTCTTTCCAGCCTCACTCTTGCTCTTCAGACTCCTGTGCTGGGGAGCATGCAAAGCTGCTCAGAAGGCACGAAAAAAGCTTGTTTGTCCTCCCTCCCGGTGGAGAAATACAAACATTTCCTGGAGCCGTTCTGGGCCTCTGCCTTTGCTTTCCTCCCCTAACCTTTTGCCTGACTGCCCCGTTCTCTCCCCATCCCATGGGGCTCTCCCAGGCAGTGCCAGAGGGGGAGGCTTTGCTCCACAGCTCCTCAGAGCCATTTCCTCTGCCCACACCCAGAAAGACAACACTCAAAACTCAGAAGGGTCTGTGGACAAAAAAAAGCTCTAAAAACAGCACTTGCTGGGTGTTAGAAAAATTCTGCGAGGCAATTCTTCTTTCCTTCCCTCCATTCATACCCCCTGCCCTTTGCATCCTTCCCTGGGCCCAAGTGACCGGTTGCATAACTAGCAAGACCATGCAATGGATCTGAGGTCACCTCTCATGTGTCTGTCTCCATACAACTGCCTCTTGGGGAGCCAGTTCCTCTCTCTGCTGTTTGCAAAAGAGGCTTTGGCTCTGAGTTTCTCACTAACTGTTCAAAGAAGCCAAATACCAAATGATAGATAGGCTTTTAATTTTAACTACGTGCAGAGCCCGTTGGTGGGGCAAGTGAGGGTCAGCAGTTGGTCAAGGAGTCTATCTCTAAAATAATCATGGGTAAATTTAGACAGCACCCAAGAGCAGAGTCCTTTGCTAAAATTTCCTATCCTTTGGCTTTAGAGGTGATCTGTCTGCTCTGTGCCTTTCAGCTCCCAGCTCAGGAAAGGGGTACAGGGGTGGGAAATGCATTGAGAGAATGCATAGACTCCTTCCAGAAGCTGATTTTTTTTTAAGATTTTATTTATTTATTTATTTGACAGAGAGAGAGCACAAGTAGGGGGAGCAGCAGAGGGAAAGGGAGAAGCAGGCTGCCGGCTGAGCAAGAAGCCTGATGCGAGACTCGATTCCAGGACCCCGAGATCATGACCTGAGCTGAAGGCAGATCATGACCTGAGCTGGAGGCAGACACTTAACTGACAGAGCCACCCAGGTGCCCCTTTTCAGACGCTGATTAAAGCAAAGGTCTTCCCACTGAATCCCGGACTTCAAATCAGCCCAACCACATTCCCCCTACCCCACCATGACTGTTGCCACCTCCCACCTGTGGAAACTATTGAGAGAGTTTCCTGACTGGTTTCCTTTTCTCTAATCTATTCCCTGTAATTTCTCTCCCACACCACCATGTGATTTTTCTAAAGCACAGATGGGATCATATCCTTTAAAAAAAAAAAGACAAACTTCATTCACTCCCTCCAAGCTGCCACGGCTATCGCTGTATGGCCTGTGAGCCAGACTGGGTTCTAAAGCCAGTTGGATTTGGGCCACATGTTTTAAAAACTTAGGACTGTCCTATAAAAACCTAGATTTCCAGAGTCTCTTGGAAAACTGGAAGATCTGGCTGCTGTGGGCCAACAATCACACAGAGTAACAATCAGCTAGAGCTGAGAGTAGCTGCTTCCCTGAGACAGGGTAAGCATTCTCCATTTTGCCCCAGTCCCCACCACTCCCTATTACCTGGTCAGCTTCACTCATTTATGTGCCTGGTCTCTGTGGGATTTTAAGTTTGCCACCTCTGCTCTGCACATTCCTCAGATTGGTATACAAAGCCCTTCACAGATGGTTCCCCAACTACCTTTCCAATGTCATCCTCCTACATTTTCTCCTCACACTTTACTTGTTAGTCTCATAACTTCTAATAAACAAATGTGTCCATCAAACATGTCCACTTAGCTCCCCCACTAATCCAAGAGGTCTTGGGAGATAAAGTCCATGTTCTTGGTGAATACCTTAATATGGTCAGGCTGGATTTTTCAACAAGTGGAAAATATTCTTCATTCTGTGTGAGCAGACACTGTGGAGATTCTTGTAAACATGAGTGTTTCCCTTTTCTCAAATGACTAACACGTGCCTCCTTTTTCCACGTTCTTGCCAAATCACCTTCTGTTTCTCTTTGACTACAGAATTCTCTGGAAGGCAGAGGATTAAGGAAGAAAGGTTTCCATTTCCCTGTAAATCTGCTATTGATAATAGGGGAGGCTGTGCATGTGTGGGGCAGGGGCATATGGGAACTCTCTGTACCTTCCTCTCAGTTTTGCTATGAAGCTAAAACCTCTCTAAAAAAAGAAGTAATCTGGGGCGTCTGGGTGGCTCACTGGGTTAAGCATCTGCCTTTGGTTCAGGTCATGATCCCAGGGTCCTGGGACCGAGCCCTGCATCAGGCTCCCCGCTCAGTGGGAAGCCTGCTTCTCCCTCTGGCGCTCCCCCTGCTTGTGCTCTCTCTCTCTGCCAAATAAATAAATAAAATCTTTGAAAAAAAATAAAATAAAGAAATAGTCTTAAAAAATTCAAACCAAATTTTATTACTGATCTTTTTTTACTCCTAGCTACTGATCACAAAGCCTAATGCAAATTGAGGCCTTATTGATTTAAGAATGCATAGTCAATGAACCTATAAGGTGTTTCTGCTAGATGCTTTAGGATCCCCCAAATGAGGAAGATAACATTCGCTGTCTGGAGCTGAGTGTTTAGTAGGGAAAATAAGACAACTATGTAAGTAACGATTTTAAGAAGCACATTGAGGGTGCCTGGGTGGCTCAGACGGTTAGGCATCTGCCTTCAGCTCAGGTCATGATCCCGGGGTCATGGGATCGAGTCCCACATTGGACTCCCTGCTCAGCGGGGAGCCTGCTTCTCCCTCTGCCTGCCACTCCCCCTGCTTGTACTCTCTCTCTAATAAAAAATAAAAAATCTTAAAAAAAAAAAAAGGAAGCACATTGAACAAGCAGATTGAGGTAGTATCTTTCAAAACGTAGTAGACACACCACAAATGATATGTGAGGTTATTGTGGATGATCTGGTGTAATATACATATATATTTTGACTTTGTAGCTACAACTTTACTTTAAAAATCTGTTTGAAAAAAAATCCAACTGGTCCACCAGAGTTTTATGAATGAGGGGAATAAGGGAGAGCTGTTAAAATTTGTAGGGGCAGAAATGAAAGGAACAGACATTCCAGACCAAATGAAGAGTGTGGAAGAAGTAAGAAGAGAGGCATTTGAGAAGTTTGGAATCTGGAGTCCACGTCACAGAACCACGAGGAATGAAACAGTCCACGCTGATTGGAGCTGTTTTACGGGACACTTTGAACTCAGCGGGAGTGGGGAGCCATTTTGGAGTGAGCGGCATCGTGAAAGATCAGGGGAATGGTTGAAAAAGAGAGAAAGGGGAGCAACAGGCTTTTGTCACCCCCCTTCTCCTGCCTGCTCCAGAGCCACAGAGCTGCCCACAGTTGCCCCCAGGAATTCTTTAGGCTCAGATCCATGTGTTCCCTCTAGTGTGGTCTGCGGTAAGCCACGGAGCGGGTATTACTGGGGAATGCGGGCCTCGGGATCACTGAAGCCCACTCCCTTAAGGACCAGCACTGAAGAAAAAGGTTTCTCATCCTCTCCCTCAGATTCTACACCAGACAAAGGGAGCAGTTAGCACCATCCACGTAGCACAAGCCCTAAGCTTGGTTCCCTCTTCTTCCTCATGAACCACAATCCCCAATCTGTCAGCTCTACGCCCTAAATCTCTCTCCACCCATGTTGCTACCACTACGGCTGGTCCAAGATTCTGGAGGAACGGGACCGTCCCCTGACGGGTCCTCCTGCCTCCTGCCTTGCTCCTCCTCCAATCCATTGTCCAAAACTCAAATCTGATGAGGCTACTCACTTGGCTGAACGCTCCAGCGGCTCTCCTGTTGTCCTTAGCAGAGAATTCAAGACGACCAACAAGGCACGGCAGGAACTGGTCTGGACACCTCCCGCAGCAGCTGTACTGTGTTTAGTATCCAGAGGCTGTCCTATAGAAGCTTCTGGGGACATCCTTCCTTCCCCCCAATCCTGGATAACTCCTCTTTTGTCAGCCTCAGCCTAGACCAGTATCTTCCAATAGAACTTTCTACAATGATGGAAATGCTTTGTAATATACATGTAGCTACTGAGCCCTTGAAGTGGGGCTAGTGGAGCCTGAATTTTCAATATTATTTAATTAATTTAAAGTTTAAAAGCCATATGTGGTTTGTGGCTAACCCATTTCCTACAAGTGCCAAGCCTTCTGTGGATCTCCCTCTCCAGTCTGGGTTAGGCCCTCTTCTCGACCCTGCTTCTGGTACCCATGTGCTTACCACACATTATTATTATTGTTATTTAAAGATTTATTTATTCATTTTGGAGAGAGAGAGCATGCCCTCGAGTGTGGGGAGGGAGGGAGAGAGGGAGAGAGAGAAACTACAAGCAGACTCCCTGCCCATGGAGCCCAAAGTGGGGCTTGATCCCAGGACCCCGAGATCACAACCTGAGCCGAAATCAAGAAGAGGTTGCCCAACCAACTGAGCCACCCAGGCACTCCTTATCACACATTATTTACCTGTGTGTGTTTCCCTCTGCCTCTGTCTCTATAAAGACATGCACTGGATTCAGCTTTGCATGCCCAGGACACAGCCCAGTGCCTGACCCCAAGGGGACACTCAGTAAGTACACCTTGAATAAATGAACGACCTAAGG